CATCATTTCTATTAAATAAAGTGAGGACTTCCACTTTACTTTACTATGTTTTATCATTTGGTATCAGAGCAAATACGAGTGTGAATGAATCAGTGAGTGCGAGAGGAAAACACGAGTGTGTGAAAGGCAAACACGAGAGTGTGAGAGGTAAACACGAGAGTGTGAGAAATGGCAGCGGAATCTAGCAATTTCCAAACCCCATGTGTGCCAAAGTTTGATGGGGACTATGACCACTGGAGCCTGGTCATGGAGAATCTGCTTCGATCAAAAGAGTACTGGAGTGTAGTCGAAGTGGGGTACAAAGAGCCTGGTGTAGAAGATCAAGTGACAGCGGCACAGCAGAAAGCACTAGATGAAGCAAGATTAAGGGATCTGAAAGCTAGAAACTACTTATTTCAGGCTCTTGACAAATCTATTYTRAAGACMATYWCTCAGAAAAACACTGCGAAGCAAATCTGGGAGTCCATGAAGATAAAATACCAAGGGAATGCAAGAGTTAAGCGTGCTCAGTTACAGAGACTTCGAAGGGAGTTCGAGACCTTAGAAATGAAGACGGGAGAATCCGTCACTGACTATTTTGGAAGAGTAATGGTCACTGCAAACGACATGCGAAACTGCGGCGAAGATATGGATGATGTCAAGATTGTGGAGAAAATATTGCGGACAATGACAGAAAACTTCAATTTCATTGTTTGCTCGATTGAAGAATCAAAGGACATCGACAAGTTAACAGTCGATGAACTGCAAAGTTCCCTACTGGTACATGAACAGAAGGTGCGACACAAAGGCGGTGAAGAACAAGTGTTGAAGGCAGAACACGACTTAAGGTTTAGGCAAGGCAGAGGTCGAGGTAACTACTCAAGAGGAGGTGCTAGTCCATCGAAGGGAAGAGGACGAGGAAGGGCTCRGACAGATTTCAACAAAGCCACTATCCAATGTTATCGATGTCAAAAGTTTGGCCATTTTCAGTATGAGTGTTCTAATACTGAAAAGAGTGCAAACTATGTTGATTTTGATGAAGGGGAGGAGCTGATCTTGATGGCATATGTTGAAATCGAWAAAGACCGGTGTCAAGGAGAATGGTACCTTGATTCGGGATGTTYRAATYATATGACAGGTAACAAGGACTGGTTCGTTCAAATTGATGATAGCTTCAATCATACGGTGAAACTTGGAAACAACTCAAGGTTAGCAGTTACGGGAAAGGGCAATATCCGATTTGAAATTGAGGGGACTGTACAAACACTTACAGATGTGTTTCTCGTTCCTGAGTTGTCTACCAACCTGCTAAGTATCGGGCAATTACAAGAGAAGGGAGTAACGTTTGTAATCGAAGTTGGCATGTGTAAAATGTACCATCCCCAAAAGGGGTTGTTTACAACTTCTAGGATCACTCAAAATCGCATGTTTACGGTGTCTGCAGTCATGAAATCTCATACAAATGAGTGTTTTCATGTTAGCAAAGAAGGGGAAGCAGGTCTGTGGCACCGAAGGTACGGGCACTTGAACCACAATGCTATGGCAACCATGCAAAGCAAGCAAATGGTGAAAGGTTTACCTCTCTTTAAMAGCAAAGTTAAGGTGTGTGAGGTCTGCAATATTGGCAAACAACATCGCGAGGTTATTCCAAAGAGAAGTCAATGGAGAGCARYGGAAAAGCTTCAATTAATCCACACAGATTTGTGTGGTCCTATAAGTCCAACTTCTCTGGGTGGAAAGAGGTATATGTTAGTTTTTGTTGATGATTTTACTCGCAAAACCTGGATATATCTGCTCTCACAGAAGGATGAGACTTTTGAAATTTTCAAGAATTTCAAAAATCTTGTGGAAAAGGAAGTGGGTGGTTCCATACGTTGTTTGCGAAGTGATCGAGGAAGGGAGTTCACCTCAAATGCTTTCAATCAGTTTTGTGAGGCACACGGGATCAAAAGACAAATGACGGCAGCTTAACTCCCCAGCAAAATGGCGTGGCGGAAAGACGAAATCGTACTATCATGAACATGGTTAGGTGTTTGCTTGCAGAAAAGGGAATGCCAAAGCACTTTTGGCCCGAAGCAGCAAAATGGACCTGTCATGTGTTGAACAGGAGCTTCACTAGTGCATTAAACGATGTAGTGCCAGAAGAATGTTGGAGTGGGTCGAAACCGAATGTCGACTATTTTCGAATTTTTGGTTGTATTGGGCATGTACATGTGCCTAAACAACTAAGAACAAAACTTGATGATAGAAGCCAAAAATGTGTACTACTTGGGGTTAGCACAGAATCCAAGGCATATCGACTATATGACCCGCTTCAAAAGAAAATTGTCGTCAGTCGGGATGTCATCTTTGATGAAGAATCAAAGTGGAATTGGAGTATAGACGAAGAAGAATCCAAACTCAAAATCCTGGATTTGGATGAAGAGGAGCACGAAGAACACTCCACAGGTACACCAGCTGTTGCTGAAGAAGAAAACCAGCCAAGTCCTAGTACACCAGCTGTTGCGGAAGAAGAAAACCAGCCAAGTCCTAGTACACCAGCTGCTGCGGAAGAAGAAAACCAGCCAAGTCCTAGAAACACGGCTGATGTAAATCCTAYAGAAACAGAAACARCGACAGAGACTCCAACAACAGGAAGAAATAGAAGACGACCAGTCTGGATGCAAGATTATGAAAGCGGAAATGAACTTACTGATGAAGAGGTGAATAGGSTACTGTTTAGTTCACTTGGTGATCCTGTGAGTTTTGAAGAAGCTGCAACCGAARGGAAGTGGATGGAAGCAATGAAAATAGAACTAGATGCAATTGAAAAAAACGAGACCTGGGAACTCGTAACTCTACCGGCTGGAGTAAAGAAGATCGGAGTCAAATGGGTATTTAAGACCAASCTAAAGGAAGATGGAACCGTTGACAAATACAAAGCGAGGTTGGTGGTAAAAGGGTATGCTCAAAGGGAAGGGGTCGACTATGGCGAGGTATTTGCACCAGTAGCTCGATGGGATACTATTCGGTCGTTGTTGGCCATAGCTGCAAACAAAGGTTGGAGTGTGTACCAATTAGACGTGAAAAGTGCTTTCTTATACGGAGAACTTAAAGAAGTCGTCTATGTAGAGCAACCTYAAGGATTCGTTAAGAAAGGTGAAGAAGACAAAGTGTATCGACTCAAGAAGGCTTTGTATGGGCTAAAACAGGCTCCCAAGGCCTGGTTCAGTCGAATTGAACGTTATTTCAAACGAGAAGAATTCAAGAGGAGCAGCCATGATCACACCTTATTCATCAAACAAGTCGGCRGAAAATTCATCATTGTAAGCCTCTATGTTGACGATTTAATTTATGCTGGGAATGACGCGAYGTTGTGTGAGGAATTTACACTTTCGATGAAGTGTGAATTTGAGATGACTGATCTAGGGATGATGAGGTTTTTTCTTRGGGTAGAAATACATCAGAGTTTGAAAGGGATTCACTTGTGCCAAAAGAARTATGCGAAGGAAGTATTGGAGAGGTTWGGAATGCAAAACTGCAATCCTGTCAAAAATCCCATAGTTCCAGGTTGTGACTTAACTAAAGAAGGAAAAGGAGAAGAGGTTGATTCTACGTTGTACAAGCAGCTGGTAGGAAGTCTAATGTATCTGACAGTGACACGGCCAGATCTGATGTATGTTGTGTGTTTGGTATCTCGTTTTATGGCAAGACCAAAAGAAGATCACCTYAACGCAGTCAAAAGAATACTTAGATATTTGAAGGGAACACTGGATTTTGGTTTATTTTATGAGAGGCAATCCAATCTAGAGCTGAAGGCATTTACCGATAGCAACTATGCAGGAGATACAGATGACAGAAGAAGTACATCAGGCTTTGTCTTCTTACTAAACAAAGCTGCTATATGTTGGAGTTCAAGAAAACAACCCATTGTTACTTTATCGTCAACCGAAGCCGAGTATGTGGCGGCTACTGAAGGTGCTTGTCATTGTGTGTGGTTAAAAGGCCTCTTGGAGCAGCTGAGTGACAAAGAAYATGGTACAATAGAGATCTTTTGCGATAACAGCTCGACGATCAAGTTATCAAAAAATCCTGTGATGCATAGAAGAACCAAACATATTGACGTGAGGTACCATTACCTACGTGATCTCACAAATCAAGGAGTTATTAAGCTGGTTTCTTGTGGAACAAAAGAGCAGGTTGCAGATATCATGACAAAGCCAGTGAAGTTGGAGACGTTTGTCAGGTTACGCGGTTTACTTGGTGTACAAGCTCAAGAAAGTTAAACTAGATGTTTGACAAGCATTTTAGTTTAAGGGGAGGAATTATTGAAGTGTTTTGAAGTGGTCAGTTAGTTTTGCTGAATAAAAGGTCTTCTACCTGTTTTGTAGGGGATATTTATTTTGAATTGGTATCAGATGTATAGACTTAGTCATCTGATTTTGCTCCTGATTTTCTGTTTCACGTTCGCTTTGTAGGCTATATATATAGTCATCATTTCTATTAAATAAAGTGAGGACTTCCACTTTACTTTACTCTGTTTTATCATGTATGTTTATTTTGTTCATTTATATTACAACAGACAGATAAAATAAAATTTATATAAGTTAAACATGTTGATAAAAAAGGATTTCCAATCATCTAGAAATGGATTATCAAAGTTGAAAATATATAACCAAATGAAACGCGGTACCCTTTTAAAAAAATAATAATAATAATCAAAATTGGACCTTTCATCGTGAATTTTTTTAATTTGTGAACGACTCTTTCTAGTTTTATATACTAAAGAAATACAATTATATTGGAGGAGGATGGAACGGCGTCGTAGGGGTGTGTAGGGTTAAGCTATTCTCTTCCACCGCCTCGCCTCTCCTCTCCTCTCCTCTCCTTCCTATTTATTTTATTTATTTAGTCAGAGAAAATGGAAATTGGAGTAATAATGGCTGCTGCTTCTACTACATTCGGACCTCCTTCTTCACCCTTACTCTTGAACACCATCCGTATCTCCCCACCTCCACTCACACTCACACCTACACCTCCATGCTCTGCCTTTTTCCCATCTTCTACCCGACTCCCCGTCGTCAGAGCTATCGGCAAACCTCGCTCCATCGGTAACCCCTCCAAGTCTAAACCCTCAGAATCTAGTGAACAAAAATGGGTTGCAAAAGGCTTAATTACTGAATCGCTTCCTAATGGAATGTTTTGGGTTCGTTTAGAAAATGGAGATGTGGTTCTAGGTTATGTATCCGGGAAAATTCGACGCAATTCTATACGAATGTTGCCGGGGGATAAAGTCAAAATTGAGGTCAGTCGATATGATTCCACCAGAGGCCGTATTGTATATCGAATTGGTAGCAAAGATGTCTGATATAAATCATTTGATGGTTATGCTTTTTGTAACCCTGTCACCATAATTTCTTGCTCGTAAATTACAATCACCTTCTTATTATCTTATATATATATGTATGGATAAACTGGAACCTAGCAGGAGTGGTAGGTTATAGGGTTGTGATGTTGAATCTCAAAGGCAATTAATTCATGGAAAGAGTCCATACCAAGTCACAATTTTTACTTATGAAAGACGGAAGAAAACTTGCATCCATTTGTATTGATATGTATAATTAAGATGTTAACATTTAAATTTTTTTAGTGATCTCTTAATTACAGATCGTTTTTACAAATCAAATACGTACCAGTACCAGAGGGGGGGTTGGGTTATGGGTCTGTCTGTAGTGGTTACACAAGGCCTAGTTTCTAGTATCACAAACACAATGCTATTAAGAAAGAAAATAGGTATTGTTTGTCTGCTGCATCTTGCACCATTACTAGGATGTCCTGTACTGATATTTGCCTTGATATAAGTTGTTGAAGCTGTTGCTTTGTGATCACCACTTTAATCCTCGTGGAGGAAGCTGATTTGGGTACAAGATGTTACATGTTTCCCAACTTGAGTGTATATATATATATATATATATATATATATGTAAGAGGAAGATGATGATATAATCCCAATTCCCACACCAGCTGTTGCTGGGAATTTTTGTAGCAGCTCCTCCTCCACCAGGATTGCCTTTGGACCTGCACCATCTTCCGATGCTTCCTTGTTAAGATGCATATATTGGTCATGTTGTAGGATATTGTGTAAATACAAGGAAGATATCAGGATAGTGGCATATGAGAAAGGGTAGGGCGGTGTGTGCTTTCACTAGATCCCATATATTTCAACTTTGGAATTGGTAATACGAATAATCAGATCAGATGACATTGATGGTAGAATTGTTTTTAGTCCCTCTTTTATCTATAAATCTGCTTTGGAAGCCATTAACATCCAACAATTGATGTCTGCATGCAACATTCAGCTCCATGACTTGCAGCTATCACTTCAAACCTTGACCCACCATATGTCATGATGAGGATGGAAGGAATGACTAATTCACCCAAGTTCGATCCCCTTTGATTTGAAGTGATTTTTGCTTTTAGAGTGAATGACATACATATTTGGTTCTTAAAGAAAAAAAGGGGAATGAAGATGAAGAGAGGGTTGATTATTCTTTTTGGTTTCCATACCTCAAAATCACAAACTCGTTGTCTAAATAAGTCCCTCCCACTAACAATTAATGTTAACTTTATCATGTGTTCCTGATCATTTGGTCATTTAATTTTTCTAAACAAACTATGAGAATTCTAATTAAAACTGAAGCTACGAGTTTTCAACTTCAAGAAGATTAGGTACCATGATGCTTTGCATTTGCATATATATACATGTAGTTTAAAAATGGGTTAATATGAGGCTTTATATATATAAAAAATTTAAACAAAATTTTGATTAAATAAATAGTTTTTGAACGCCCTTAACCAGAAAATGTATTTATGGATCAATGAATTTAATTTAAAAATGTATATATATTTTTTGTTACTAGAAGAGTACTCGTGCAATGCAGCGAGACACATCTCGATTTTAATGTTCTATTTTATTATTTCTCTTTTTCGATGTTATATACGATTTTATGTGTTTTTAAGAAAGCAATAATGATTTTATTTTTTAATAAAGTATAAATTTGAAAAAAAAAATATCAATGTTAAAATCTAATCAACTATTTAAAAGTTTTCATTTTGTATATAATTT